TTCAAAGAGGAGGGGGGGGGGGGGGTAGTCTTTTTTTTTCTTTTTTGAAAAAGTGTACGTTTTATCAGGAAACCTTCATGTACCTTATCAAATTTTATCCACAGTGGACCTCTTCCAGCAAAAAGGGCAGCTAATTCACCACCCTCATCCCCCCGCTCGAACTCCCCCCCCCATCCCCCGGGCTACGGCTTAGTTAAGCATACATACCCATTGATATGCAAACGACCACTATATTCACTTTTTATAATTCATACTGCTGGTATCTGTGAAGCATTCATGTTACACCTTCCACCTCATCTATCATTTGTCCCTGTAACAGTTCTACAACTGCACTGCTCAGTAGAAGTCTATTCTCAGTTGTTTACTATATACGTGACTAAAGTAATACACAAGTACATATCCCACAAATCCACAAGGTCAATTTGATAAACATGGGTGCACACAGCATACATATATATATTTATAGCTTGCACATATCGGACAAGAAGCTAACGGTATTCCCTCACCTTCGCCCCCCCCCCACACTCCTACCCCCAAATGCCCTACAATAAAACAGTCTCTTTCATGGATTCCATACATAATGCATTCTCTCGTAGATCTGCAAGTGTAGGTGCACTAACATACACACACATATACACACGCACACACACATGCACACATGCACACACACATGCACACACACACACACACACACACACACATCAGTATGATATGTATTGAGCACAACATAGTGTTTATATCACTGCATGTAATACATTGTATGATCCTACTGAGGAAACGTAGAAGGATGTAAAATTTTGCCTCGCTTTGACTGGCAAATAAGAAAAACACAGACAAGCTAGGGCAATATACAATGTACTATGTAGGTCAAACGATTTGGCAAATTGTTTGGTTTCATCTCCTTTCCATGTGAGGGGCCACTTAGAATTAAGCTAAAAGAGGGAGGGGGCATTCCTCTCTGTGGTCTCCCCTGGTTCCACCACTGACATAATCCTGGTTTTAACCCTATTCTTACAAGACTGAGAAAAACATATTGATTGTATGTTGTGGTCAGGGGTATCATACACAAATGTACACATGTATATTGATTATTGTCATAGCATTTCTCATACCACAAAAAAACTGGCAACATTGTGAAGTCAGACTAAACAGTTGAATCTACATATATATTAGTAACTTTCACTTCATGGTTGCTAGTGTTACTGAAATATAGGTACACTCTGCAGCTCCTTTAACACCAAAGCCATTCCTTTCAGACACAATCACTTAACTGCAATAAATTATCAAGTCCTATATCCTTCAATTGGTATGCAACTATATCCTTCAATTGGTATGCAAAGTACTGGTAAGGGTAACACATCCACAACGTCTAGAAACTGTGCTCAAAATATGTAGTCTCTTAGAAGCACGTACCAGTACTGTACAAATGATCTTCGGGTGGGGGGGGGGGCTATTTTATCGAATTCATCAAAACACTCAACCCTGGTCGAGATTCCATGCATTGCGTAAGACTAAAGTGGCGGCTTAAAGTAATGTTCCATTATAGGTTTCATTAACCGATCAAGGTGACAGCGAATATCTAGGTCACTCGATAGTTGCGACCTGCAAGGCAACAGCCAACGGTGGAAAAAACCTTCATATTTACCTGTCATACGCCGACGACTGCCCGCTATCCTTGTCGCCCGTTGAGGCCCGCGACGAATCGTCCTCCATGATTGTGTGTAAAGAATATCTGTTTCAGAATTATCCTCTCTCGGTAATATGTATCTCTGTTTTGAAGCAGTTTAACGGGTTCCTTTCCTATATCATCGCTAACAGCGCACTAGTACACGTGAGGAAAGCTATGACGTCACGGCCTCCTACGATTTCACGTGTCATGTGGCGTGCCTATTTTCATCGGCACGTGTTTGTTTGGCTGCCTGAAAGGAAAAATCACACTACGTGGCCTTTGAACTCGTTCTGACTTTAACTTCACAAAGAATTTAGTTTTTTAAGAACTACATTTGTTCGATATCAGAGATCATTTATGAATTTGTTTTCATTTGAACCCAGATTGTTTTCTAGGCTCATAAGAGACTGTGCAGATCCTTATTTTAGCATCTTTAAAATAGATTTGATAAAATCGCTTATGAACAGAAGAAAAAAACTCTAAACAAAACATAAACTTGTGATATCCCTGTGATTTTGGAATATATTGTTTTTCCCTTTACACGTAAGAGGCATAGCTTTGTTTCCCCTATTTTTTTTAAACAAGTTCAAAATAGACCAAGCGATTATAAAGTATATTTTTAATTTCTTAAAAAGAATTTTCTTTCTTTTCTTTTTATGGATACTTACTTTATGAATACTTAATAAAGTAAATAAAAGTGGGGGGGGATGAAAATTACGCGTTTTGATGGCTGCAGGTGTTTTGAATTAACAAAGTAAATGAAGACTTGTATTAGTTTATGAAAACGTATCGAAATCTATATTGGGATGCTCCAAAGTGATTGGCTATTCACCAAAAACATGCGCGGTTACAAACCGTCCTGCAAGGCTTCCATTACGTAACCTACCTTCCAGACTTAATGACAGTACGGTACTTTCTGGATCTTCTCGGTTGTTTGTCTCTGTTTGATAACGGACGGGCATCCAAGTCACTTATAAGGCTTGGTTCATAACTTGACAGGCTTCCAGCTTGCTTTTGCTAAATTTTAAGGCTAGCCCAATCTAAACAATGTAAACGCGAGGTTTCAAAGAAAAAAGTCAACTTCGAGTATAGGTCTAAGACAATGAAACATCCCCTGTTACTGAATCAATATTTGTTTATTATTTATTTATTTATTTTGATTGTTTCACAAGACTACTACGGTACTACCGATTCATTTTGTGTGAAGAAGTCAAAAGTATGGTTTAAAAGTTAAGACCCGTTTTCGAACTAAGTAACTATTTTTAGAAATTTAAACGGCCCCGAATATCGTGCACATGAAGATGCAGGAACGCTGAGGTTGTTACGGAACGCTGCACACCAGCGGCCACATATGAATACCGTCTCCACCACCAGGTGCGCTTTGACATTTTGTGTGTGCAGGGGCGTTCTTACATTGATGAGCCAACCGAATCAAATTGATTTGAAAATGATATCTTTCATGTTCAACAAGAGATGTTTCCTCCCTAGTGGGTTGTACGTTGAATCGAGGAATTCCATGGTTGAGTAGACGAAACCAGGTCCTTGTGTGCGTTGGACTTAGTTTTCGGCGTTTCATGCTGGGTACTTACAGCACTCTGCTGATTCTTGTGTGTGTGTGTGTGTGTGTGTGTGTGTGTGTTTATTCAATTTAGAAGATGCGATGTTTCGGTGCACGCAACCAAGTTCATGGACGTCTGTATTAATTTATGCTGCGCTCCATTTTTCTAAAAAGAAACAAAGAAACATAAACCTAGACTCACTGCCACCAAAGAGGGACATAGTTGTGACTCTTCTAATAATTATATGCATAAAAGGAGTATTTGCTACTACTCAAATATTCTAGAAGAGCTAGCAATGGTCTGAGAAAAAGTATTTTGCTAGTTCGCTCTTACGATACCCCTTTGTGATAAATGCCACTTACTCACTCAAACAGAACATTAACCACGTCACACCTGAACGAATTTTCATTTTTAGGATATATATATATATATATATATATATATATATATATATATATATATATATATATATATATATATATATATATTTGAGATCACAATATTCCATCTTTATTTCATTACTAACTCATGCATTGAAATTGTGATTGCCCACTATCGATCGAAACTGAAATTCCCAGGGCCATAGGGCGAGAAAAATGCTTTGTGGGCTTTCAATACATTTTCGCAGTTTGTTCGTTCTGCCAGTGGCGGTTGTGATGCTCATCCAGGCGCTGATCATTACTGTGGGAAAGGGAAAAGCCTCAAATGGAATCCTCCATCCTATGCACGCGCGCGAGCGCACTTAAACACACGCTCATACACGCGCGCGCACACACCGCAGCCAACTGCCCTGCAGTTTGAAATATTTTACTTCTGTTGTTTCAAATAAACAATTATTTTTAAAGCTCATCATGCCTTATATTTGGCACTAAAATCCTTTGGTGACTGACCTTTATCCATGTACTAGCAAATCGCTCGGATTATAATTGATCAGGCACTGCGTAATTGATTCACTCCATCGAGCTCTCGAACACGTTTTATTTGGGGAAAATGATCGATATTCAGTCGAGAAAACGTGTACTTAAGCATGTTAGGATAGGCAGTGCTTAGAAAGCACATGTTAACAACGTGGTCAGAGAATTTGTAAACAGACATTGCGAGTCTCAGTTTTTAAGTTGGAAATTTTTGGTAAACAGGCAGAATGATCTTTGGCACATGGGGGCTTCATGGTTGTTTTTGTATTTTGCACAGAAAGGGCCCTAGATTTCAGCATTAATTTTATTTACTATTATTTTTTACCCTTTTAATTTTTACTGCTACGTCCATCCGACCGGGGAGTCTCACTAGATTACTGTCAGATAATCCGGCTTAAATGTCCGTCCCGCCTACTACAAGCTGTAAGGGGGTAATTAACTTTCGTGTCCGCCCGGCTGACAGCTATTTAGCGTGAACCCCCAGGGAGTTAGGTCGATCTAAAGCAGATCGATCTAATCTCTGGAAATGGGGTCTAAGAAAGTGTACATAAATAAATTGTGACCCTGGTAGAGGTTATAGTTAGGCTACGGATATGTTTTTCCACGGTTTTCAATGGGTTTAATTGCCTTGTTGCAAATAATCAGTTTATAAGCTTGGATGATTACAGAGGATGCAACATGCATTTAATAAATATTGGTTTCTTAAATTGAAATTGGTTTTATGTCAGAATTCAGATCGAGAAGAGCCGAGTGCTAGCTAGGCCACGACCTAAATATGGCAGACCTACATGAAAGGAAGACCGCTTAACCCTGTGTTGGTCTCTCTGCCTCTCACACGCCTCCCCACCTGTCGAATCTCGACCGGTTGAATTGAGTCGAGATTTAATTACTGTGCCCCTGCAGGGACGACGCGTGGGGAGGCGTGTGAGAGGCGGAGATACCATTACAGGATTAAGCGGTCTTCCTTTCATGAAGGTCCGTCATATTTAGGTCGCGGCCTAGCTAGCACTCGGCTCTTCCCGATCTGAACGGGGCCCTAGGCTGTGTTTATTGATTATCAAAATTGTAATTGTTTTTTTTTATGCGAGAACTAGGCCGTTTTTTATCTACAATCTTGTGAAGATGTCTTTTGTGTACTTGCTTTAATGTAAAGTCGCTAAAAACTTTGAAATAGATTTAAGTCTTAAAGGGATAATAACTCTTCGTTTTGGCCAAAAAATGAATTTTCCTGGAGTAAACAACAATTTTCCCATACTTACCAATGGTTAATGAATCCATTTTTACATTCAAAGTTAGTCCCTGGTTTTTTTCTAAAAAGTTTGGTTTTTTGTTAAAATCTCTTAAGAGATTATAACAGAG